TATTCTTTTGGAGAACGGTGCGAGAGCGTAATTTAAAAAAAAAAAACGTTAAACGACCCTCCGACGCTATAATGGGAATGCACGAGTTGTCATACTACGAAATCAGGTCACATAGTATAGGAAAACGAGACAAAGAGAAACGCGAATAAAGTTGTTTACTTTGAAGAATGAGTTATCGGCTTTCTATTGAATCTTTCCGTCGTTGGTTTTGCACGCAAAAGAGATCGACGAACCTTCGAATTTCCTAGAAAAGATACATAGTAGAGGAAAAAGGAGGTTATTCGAAGAAATCTGTCAAAGTTTGCGAAGCTTGTAATTTTTTCATGGAAATTGTTGTTGATTATATTTCATCTAGGTACAGTCCTTTATATTCTCTGTTGTCTTCTATACTCTCCTAATCGGCTTATATTCCATCCTTATACTTGGAAATTCGTGGACGTAATACGCTCAAGATTGAAACTGTCTGCTGACAGGACAGTCTTTGTTCTCAGGACGCCCGGTATACCGATGTACGCATCAGCCAGCTGCGAGGCTCATTGTTTTCGGAAACACGCCAGAAATACGAACATAAAAGCTGCGCGATTATTTGAAATTCGTGTCTATACGGATTCATACTTGCGTTAGTTTGCACGGAAATTCAATATTTGTTTAATTATCCCACGCTTTTTCTCATTTTTATTTGCGTTCGTTTCCACTTCGTGTGAATTTCCTACCTTTCCACGAAATTTCGAAGCGCTCTTGTACGAATAGATCCGTGACGCGAGGAACAACCTAGGAACCCGAAAAGACTCGTCAAAAATTCAAAAGTTCGCAAAAGACAAAGAAACGAAACTTCTCTTAGCAAAGTCTACCTTGGATCAACCTACGTTCGATCGAGACGCGACATTGACGGAAATAAAGCCGCTCTTCTCGATATTTCCAGGCAAGTGTCGAAAACCGGAGGCCTCTTCGATCTCTCGAAGCTCTCCTCTCGACGATCCTAACGCGACGTTTTACGTTCGCGTCTTAATAACGTCATCCTTCTTAGCTGCGTAGCTCGTAATCGGTGGTGATCAGACGTTGCCGAAATCGTTGGAAAAGCGTTCGGTGATCCGCAACTAGCGGAAACTCGTCTCGAAACGTCTCGAGACTCGTCGTTAATCCGATCTCTCCGTGATTCCCGAAGAAAAAGAGAGTCTCGTGACTTTGATCGGCGATACGACGCGATGACACGAGGGCGGAAGAGCGAGAGGCGTGGTAGAATGGACCGACACGGTTCTCGCCCCTGGGAGACTCTTCAATTTTATGAAGAACGCCGGAAGTATATCACTCAGCGGCTCAGACATATTGACACTTTGCGCCCGGCAGGCTTGAGCTACGGTATGCCTTATTAAACTCACCGGTTAAATTATGGCAACCGCTATCGTCGCCGCACCCTCGCTTCCTACTATTCTCCAACCCATCGCCGCCTTTATCCACGCTTCTCCGCCAACGACGCGACACCTCGCTTCAAAACGAGATTAGGCTTTCAGATTTGTAGATCAGGCTTTTCCTTCGATTCGATAGCTGAACCAGCCAATTGTCTTTAACGGACGTTACACGGAACATGTCTCTATTCTTACCTTTCCTCTGATAGCGTCAACGATAATACCTATTTATCTGCAATATGGTATCGCCGATGAAAACACGATTATTCGATGTCGTTTCGTTCCTTCTTCTATCGTTGAATTCCGAGAAAAGGACAATTATATTTGCATTGAAATTTACATCGGGATGGAAGCCAGGAAATCGGTTATTTCCATGGGCTTTTATTCTGCCAGTGATCACACCGTCGTTCGTGTTTCGATTCGCGACTAGAAAAACAAGGCGACGGACTCCATTCCGAAAAATCGAAATGCCAAACTTAACACCGTGCGAGTTCTGTTTTCACCCTTCGTTTCTTTCTTCTGCAGCCTTCTTTCCTTTTTTCTATCCGTGTCTCCGTCTCTTCTTGAATTCTGTTGCCACCGTGAATCGTGTTCCTACGAGAGCGGTGAATTTTTAGCTCGCAGAGGAATAATCCGATTGGCTACAAAGCCAGTTGAGAGTTCGAAATTAAACCGTAACTGAATTGCCCCTTTGCCCGGCAACTCGAACGTGGATCGAAAGTCAGAAAGTGTTTAAGTACACGGGGGTAAGGGAGAGCGATTAACTTGAAAAGAGGTTTAGCAAGTTCGTTGCGAATTTATTTCCATCATTTTTGTATTAAACGAATCTTAACTCGCAGCGGATTAACGTTCGCGTAACTTTCCGCTGTACTATCCTTTTGTTTTTTGCTTCCGTTGATTTTCATTATTACCCCTATCGTATTAGAAAATCGTCAATTGATCGATTCGTTAAATTGGAACTGGAAATAATCATCGTATTTGTATCTAATATGACCGAATTGATATTTCCAACAGTCATCTTCCATGTTTCGTGAGTAAAACGAAACAAGGAGAAATCTAGCAGTTAACTTCATCCGTAGATCTCTTGAGTCATCGCGCGGGAAAAAACACATTGATATTAACCACGGCATGACGAAGCTGCTAGCCATAGTCATCAATGGCTGATTCATAATCGTCGATCGACCGAGTTTCCGGCGCTCACGCTTATTTATAATGCCCGCAGAATTGAATTTCGAGCGACGACGAAGCCTCTCTTTTCGGATTCAGCCTGCGGGCATCAACGACGCCTCCTTTTGCCCTGTTATTTCGGGGCTGCCGCGCCCGCTGGAAACCTTAAACGTGACTTTTGGATTATCTAATTAAAATTTATGCGGCTCCTGACACGCGCATTCCCTTTTACAACCGTGATAACGTAAACGAACGCCGATGGAAGCGTTTTCCGACGCAATTTATTTCTCGATATCGATGCGATCGATGCGATTGATTCGACTTTCGTAGCTACGTATGTATTTCGAAGAACGGAATGCAACGAAACGGAACGCGCTTGATAAAATCCATAGTAATCGTATTTTTGGGGATATTTATCTAGGTAAACGCGCGCTTGTAGCAAATTTAAACACGTCGAGATTATGGCACAACAGTGGCCTCTGACTTCTCCGCATAAATATCCGATAATAATCTTGCTGTTACATACCCTGTGTCCGTAAAGTGTGTTATTTCGGTTAGAAATTATGTATCGCGCTTCTCGAAACTATGTGTAACGTATAGTCTGTACCGTAGCGAGATAAATTAACGCGAATAAACGCGCAAGCGTTTTATTTTTGTAAATGGACGTGCCTTCGAACGTAAGCGTAGTTTAAGTGGCAGTGCTTGAACTTGAACATATGGCGAATGGGGCTCGCATATGGGGAATAGTAGGTCAAGCATAATTTCAAAGTCAATTACTATGTTTTTAAGTGGAACGCCCTTCTATCGTATCAGAAGTCGGAACAATGTATCACCGGATATTTCGTTTCGTCTAATGTTTCGTAATCTTGCCGAAAAGGACAAATGGTCGAAGGGACGATGCCTTAACAAGAAACTAGTAAAATAAAATTTCTAAACTTGGTGAACGCGAAACTGAATACGACATTGAAAAGGTTGATTTTAGAATATGCGTTGATCAGACACTTTTTGTCTCCTTGATGAATTCCCTAAGCTCGTAAGACCTCGCGTCCTCCTTCTGTAATGTCCTGTATGGTATACGGATCGTAAATTCGACTTAGTGGTAGGGAGAAAGGAGCGTGGAAATTTCCTAGGACGTCCGTCACGCTGACTGGGACTTTCCGATAATATCGAACGCCACTCGATGCCCGCAACGCGGCCCTCACCTGGCCTCACCATGGCACGAGGCGATTTTACAGTGCCGCGAAATACGGCTGTTTGAACAGGTGACCCGACAGCTGTTGTTCGACAGAAATTCCCTACCACCCCTGCTCGAATGCGCGTCAAAACGGACCACGCGTCGACGAATGCTATAATTGCCTGGTTACAAGACATTCCGGTGGACTTAGAACACGGTGCTCGCAAGGTTTCGTCCTTCTCCGCGCGTCGTTACAGGACGAGCGGAGTTTAGCAACCGATTAACAGATACAAAGAGGGATATGTTGGACTCGAGAAGCGATTATTACGTCGCTTTGGAAAGAAACGAAACGAGATAACTGCGCGATTAACTCTGTACGCGCTTGTCGTAGCGAAAGAACGAAAGAGAAGAGAAGATACGAAATCAACGAACGAATAAAATCAAGCCTCGCGCTGTTCCTTCTCCTATGCGAACTTCCTCTAATTTTTCGCGATACACGCCCCTATCAACGATCCGAGACTGAAAATTATGTGTAAAAACGGGCAAGAGACGGTGCGACTGGATCCGCGTCGCAGCTTAGCGGAATAGCGATACGTTTTACGATGACCTCGTGACGTTAAAGTTGCACGGGGATGGGCCTGAGATGAATTGAAGGGGAAGCGCGGATGGATGCAAGGGAAATGCCACGGGGAGCTGGATTATGCGGCCGTAACTCAGGGTAACCGAGCTTCCACGACCTTACACGTATGCTAAGCCAGGGGAATGAAACGTAGAAAGCGCAAAGTAACCTTAGCACACCCTTCGTCCCCGCCGTCATACAGCAGAGAAGACTCCACGGAGTTAAGCGATGAATTTCATTTTACGGGGTCGACGCCGTTTCTGCCTTTTCCTACGGACGATTTGCGTGACGTTCATCGTCGTGCCCCTCCCGGGACCGAGAAACACCGTGTTCCTCCTGTCCTTTATTTTGATTTTCTTTCACCCCTAAGCGCGATTGATGAGTCTCGTAATTTCCTCGAATCGAATTTAACCAACCGTTTTCCAAAGAATCGCGTATTTTAATTCTTCAAAATCGATCCTACGGGGTTTTGCAACAGGTCGCGTAGATCGTCGAAAATATTCACTTGGCAAAACGTAAGATTATTAACGTCGGAGCTCGTGTGATTGTAAGCCCCGTCACTTTTTCAGACGAACGATTAGCAGCTATCGCTTCGCTTCGTAACCACGTACGATACGAATTTGGTCGTAATCTAAATGTATCGAATCTCTAGCCTGACGCTTATCGCTCGCGGAGCGAATAGTTGGCCATAAAACGTTAATATTTGAAAAGACTATCTCATGCCGGAGACAAATATGCAAGACGAATTCATTCCTGATAAAATCAAATTTGACGAATCGCGCGATACGTTTGCGAAAATGGCGATTTTTTTTTTATCTTGCTTCGCAATGCCATTCCATACAGATATAGGCATTTGCGGCTGATGATATTTCTTTCGTTGCTTCGAACTGCCCCGAAACGATTGCTCGCGATAGTGTCCCCAATGTCTCTTCGAAAAGGGGGAAAAGGACGTGATAAAATTAAATCGTTTAACCAAGGCGGTTTGCGCTATATTCGATATAATCGAGCAGCATACGTGAGGGCCGAAAATTTCGTTATCGCCTAAACAGCCACCGCTTGAAATGTTGGGCACGTAGCAGGAGTGCTCGTGTCGTCGCGGCGCGGCGGCGACGGGATCGAAGGCGCTATTATCAGCTGGTGGCACGTGCCAGGGCCACGTGCACGAGCAGATGGCAAGGCCCTGGTTGCACCTTGCGAGCCCTACGCACTACGCACCATAATCTCGTCGTTAATAGCGGCCCCACAGGTTCCCAAGACGAAAACGCAGCACAGCTGTCGTTATGCGCCGATCGAGCGTAACGCGGCTATCGACCATTGGGATGAGAAATTGTTCGAGGAATATCGATTTGGTCGCCGCAGCTATTACGCATGGACCTGCGGAAGGGGATCGAAGTCTAAAGAAAGTAGGAATTGCGACATTTGGTAATTTCGATCACGCGGAAAAGCAACTATCGATAGTTAGGGCTAAGGAGTAATATAGTGCAAGTACGTAAAAGACCTGAAAAAGTTGAAACGTGCATTTAAATGCTAAGAACCAGCGAATGTCAGCGCGCGAGGAAATAGCTGAGAACGCAAACACTTGCATTCTTCTATTAATTTTAATAAGGAAACTGTATTTTTGCTGAGCACGGATGTTTCTATAAGCAGATTTATCATATCACGAGCGAAATTATCTTATCTCGCGCAATTCGTTTAACATTGCTTTCACGGAAATTGCGGTTAAAGAAAAAGTATAATTTTCATAGAAAAATATATCGAATAATACGATAGATACTTTGCAAGTTAAATTCACGAATTATCAAGATTGATCATCTGCGAATGTGTAGTAAGATTATCACGTAAATATATTTTTAACGGATGTCACTCACCGATTTAATACTCCAGTGTTAATATTCTGCTTCGCGCCGTCATATACACACCTGCGACATAAAACATAACAACGTCATAAATATTTATGTAAAGGAGAGATATAGATGTATGTAATTCCCGAAATGTTAACAATTAACGGACTAACCGTTAACAAGTTCCGTGGCAGAAAAAATTCTACTCTGTCCGTTCGCTCTCCCGAGTGTCGATCTCAATTTCGATCGAAAATTCGAGTCGTGGTTCTGGAAAATGGAAAAAAAGCCCGGACAACGATGGAGGTGTCAAAACTGGGACTCGTCGCACGAATTCCCGAAAGTCAATTTTCATTAGGACGAAATTGGGCTGAACTCGATGGCCTGGGGGCTCGAAACGAATCGAAGCTCGAGCGAGACAGCGAATCGAACGATTGAAACGGTGTGCGGGAGAGAAAGAGAGAGGGAGAGAGAGATGCAGCATGCCAAGTTGCGTGAACCCGAATCATAAGTTGGAACGGTGTGTCGGTGTCGGTGCACATGGGTGTACGAAGTTAATTAAATTCGGTCGATTAATTAGGCTATTTGTCAGCCTCGCCGTCGATTTCCAGATCCACCTGGAAGAGCAGGAAACTAACGATAGTCCGCTCTATCGTTCTACGAACGAACGACTATTCTATTCAGGAAGAATTATTAAATGTCGTTGATTCCAGCGATGTAAAGATTCGGCTGAATTTTCTTGCCAGTATCGTATACAACCGACGAGATAAAGGACGAGTTTGCTATTTCCGAGGAGATATTTTTAGAAATTTTAATCGATTCTTCGTAAGAAATTCGTCGACGAGAATGTTGACAACTTTAAGCAGAGGATAAAATTCTAATTCCATTACTTTATGGATACATAAAACATCGATCGCTCAAATTACAACCGTATTTCCACGCTGCCATCTGCGGACAAAACTAATTCAATTTCCTGGATTAATTGCACCATCTGTCGCTTCTTTTATCAATTACAAACTTCCCTTTATATCAGGAAAGATTAACGTCGTTCTATCAAACCCGAAGAGAATCCTCCAGACTTTGATTCGAAGATTTTCATCTAAGATGCTTTACGAGTCGCGTTCTCGGAATTTAAAAAAGTTCAAATTTCAAGCGTAAATTTTATTCCAACGAAACAAAAGTGAAAGATACGTGAAATAATACGCGTATAATAAGAGGAAAAAATGGAGACTTCTATCTGTAGCCGTTTCTTTTTTAAATATTATAACGATTCGAGGCAAAATGCAGCCAGGATGTACGTAGCATTTTCTTGCGACAGATCGCAGCTCACAGCTGCGCTGACAAGAATCTGACATAAATCTTAATTCCTGCGCCATACGAACCGGCCGGTGGCACGTAGAAAATTTCCTGTTACCGGGAGAACGCGAAATTTAAAAAGTCGTCCGCTGGAATTCCCCGTGTCTCGCAAACTCGCGGAGTATTTTCAAGGAATATCGTTATGAACGCGTTGTAAATACACCGTGAAGAATTTTTGCTGTAATTTCTTTTAGCACGTTCGATAACGTTGAACGTAAACGAAGCGAAATAAAGTATTCGACGAGCGATCGCACGAATAATATTTAAACAACCAAGATACAGAAACGACATATTCTTCGGTACGTTTAGGTTTCGGTACGTTCCGAGTTTCGTTTCTTCCTTAAAATCGACTGGAACCGCTATTTTGTAGTTTCTTGAATCAATTTATTTCATTAGCAGCGTCGTTAAGGGAAAACGATTATGAATGATCAAACATTAAGGCCGCGTTATAGTTCAATTCATTTTCGAAGCTAACGACGGAAGGTCCAAACAGACCGAAACCTTTAGCCACTCTCGCGATGGGAGTTAGTTACATTAGAAGGAATGACTATGAGTCACGTATATGCGTTTGCATTCACGGTAAATTGCCTTGGTATGGCCCTAACTACGGTCATTAAAGTCGCGGAAACTCCAATGATTACCACACCTTAGGTTTGTCTTGGAAATGTTCCGCTGCCATTCGTAATCGAATGATATTGACATTGTTACTGCTACGGCTCCAAGCAAGGGAAAAGATATCCGATATCGTTACGCTATTTATTCATAATTAGTTCTGTTCTTTGTTATAAACTGTATTAGGACTTACGATCGAGTCTAGAACTTAAATGCAGCATAATTATCCGTTTGAAATAGTAACTTTAAATCGTTATTTGAATCCTGGACTAGAGTTTGAAACAAGCGATAGAAGTTGGGTTGAATTATCATTGACCTGTATCACTTATACGTTTCGCACAACCGTGCATTTACACGTACTAATTTATTTTTCTCTTCGTGCACATCTTTGTACATTCTTGCGTATTTACATTTGTATTTTACCAACTACGTAATATAGTAGCATTGAATATTTTTAAACAATATCAGTAACGATTAGCATATACGTTAATTTTAAAGATACGTAAATTTAATCATTTTGCGTTGAATAATTAGCCAGTTATACAGGCTCGTACATAATGAAATTTGTTAGCATGTTATAATCGAATTGAATAATTGATCAAATAGTGTTAAATTATGATACGACTGCTATAGAGCTCGTGTAAATCGATGAAGCTATTCCATAATGCATCCATCGATGCATTATAGAAATTACACAATAAATTTTCCAACGTTAATCCTATTAGTTCTATTAAATCACGGACGTCTTATAATCCAAATATTCGCGTGCTATTAAAAATTCTGTCCTAGTATAAAAATTAATTTCCCGGAGTAATACAATAGGAACGTGAAATATAGCAAGGGCAAACGCCGTGTTCAGGGGGTTAACGAATTCATCGCCGGTACGAGAACAAAGGCAGAGGCACCGATGGAAGCACGTGTACCGGTAAAAACCAATCGAAACTTCGTTCTATCGTCGAAACTTTGTTTCTCAGTCTATCCATCGGTGAGATTTCGAACTTGATTATGACGTAACTCCTAATATCCGGTAATCAGCCGTTCGATATGACCTGAAAAGGATGTAAGATCGATAAAACGCGGCTAGCAGCCCGGTTCTCGGACGTTTTTCTTTGCGGAAACAAAGTTCCTGTTGGTTCAATTACTTTTACGCGTATCGTCCCACCAAACCTGCCACTCTCTTTCCTTTCTCTCTTTCTCCTAGAGAGAAAGCTCCACCGTTACGAGTTTTCGTTTCCGCGAGACTCGTTGTTTGAAAACTATGATTGATCGTTCCGGTGTGTCCGGTCATACTTACACGAACGCCAGCTTGTTTCGTTCCTCCGGTAATGCCTTCCCGTCGAATTGTTTAAACACCGCTCGTTTACGAGGTCGTTTCGTCGCGGTCCGGAGTAATGCGCTTAAATTATAAGTTTATCGCGCAACTTGGTCGAACAACGGCAATGTTCTTCGAGAGTGAAGTATGTCGAATAATTTGTTGGCGAAATATTCGTGTCGCCCGTAAAATTAGCGCTTTGTTTGGAAGTAGGATGAATCGCGTACTTTTTAAAAACAGTCTTCACTTTGGGAAGTCGTAAAGGAGCTGCTATGGTTGCATAATAGTACATATACGTACATGATGGTGTTGCGTACGAAAGAGAAACCGGTAGTTGGCAGATTATTCGCTCGAAAGTAACAACTCGCGGTTAAAATTTGATTGGAGCAAACGATTTCATAATCTCCGATCTAATAGATCCAACGAAAAATAGTGTCTAGATACTTTTGAACGGTAGTGTACATAGTTATTCCCTGGTATTACCGTGTTCACCCGCATCAATGTGTATACCGTATACTAATGGAGGAACCAAGCCCACGGGCCACGATCACGGATGGGTGCGGCATTCTACTTGGGCTAATGCGTGGGTGTGCCGCGCGCGTAACACTGCCTTAAGTAATTGTTTATTGCCGTGTCGGCCACTCTTCGATCCCCCTGGCATCGTTTCCTCGAAACGGCAGGACCCTCCCAGGTTGGGGCTTTATCGCGTCGCACGGTTATCCAGCACAGCGTTCGCGTAATATCGTGCTTCCCGTTCATCCATCGGGATATGCGTGTCGGCCGGCTGTACGCCTATCCCGTCGCGATAGCACGAATATCGGATGTGGCGACCTAGCGACGTGTACCGCTTCACGAGAGGGTACCCCTATGTGACTCTACCGCCACCAGGAGCACCAGGTGACTCTATTCGCGGAGATAAAGGAAAAATGCTTGAAGAAGGTGTCTTCGTACGGAGACTCGTTCTCAAAGAAATTAAATTTCGAAGTCTCGTCGGTGGTCGTGTATTCTATATATATTCTAGTTTTTTCCCCGAGAGCTTTTGACGTAGCCACGACATCGTCGATAGGTTTGAACGTTTGTGCTTATGGGAACGTATTTTCGTTCTCACATATGGAAATTTTAACCGTAATATTTTACTTTAGACCGTGGCCTGGAACGGATTACGTCTAAATGTACAAATATACCTATTTCAATGTACCATTTACGTATATTCTAACGTATCTGTATCGTGCCTAGCACCCGTATAGAGGAGAGATACATCTTAGCTGACGCGCTTCTTCTCGCGCATATATCCTCGAAGATGAATTTCTCGGGATCCGCGGGGATTTTTACTCGAAATTTAGGATTTCGTATTAGGAGAATACGACGCGTAACATTACCAAGATGCGAAAGCTCGTACGATGCATGCACCGGTTATTTTTTAAACGCATGGCATACAGGAATAATATAGTCTTTCATCGGGGTTTTGAAGCTAATCGAATGGTTGCGCGGGGCTCGCCAGCGATATTTTATGGCAGACTTGTTCATGGATCGGTACATGTACCGATTGTATATTTGCCAATCGTATATCGCCGGTCGTATATTTGCCAAACATAGATAAATTTCACTCGAAATACAAGTAAAGGCTAACTATTCGAACTAACGAGTCACGTCGACGCAATGCGCGGTTATAAGGGATTAAAAAGCCACGTTGTGCCCTTATTATAATAGAAAACATGGTAACAAAAGAGAAACAAACGATTCCAATTAATCCGAAACTGCTGAAAACACCGAAAGAACAACGAAGCGGCCAATGTTCCCTTGGAAATTCCAAAGTGGTCGTCAACGAGATTACGCGGCTCGTTACCAACCGCTTACAATGTTCATTTGCCAGCGTCAATACGCGTGCACGCGCCCCAATGTGCATCCTTTATTCCTCGATTGCTGCGGGGTCGAGTCACGTGGATCACGTGTTTACAGCGTGCACACCAACCAGCTCGGACTAATTAGCCGATACGCCGTTTAATTGTTTCATCTGTCAATGGCCTCGAACAGCCTTAAACTCCGCGCAACAATAATGCCGATCAAGGCAACAAAGCCAACCGACCAAAGGAGTGGCCCGTGTGCCGACTGAAAAAAAAAAGACAGAGGAAAAAAGATGAAAATCGATCGAGCGACCACGTGAGGGTCGCTCGCCTAATCGACGCCCCATGTTGCGCAATCTAATGCGAATATAATCGTGGAGATCGATTATTACGTAAAGCCCGATATTCACTCGGACGATGGATTAGAACATTGTCCTGCCAGGGATTGAGTCTGTGTATTGGTTGTTGCTAACTCGATGGGTCGCATGCTGTAGTTAATAGTCGGATGGAAATTAGCAACGTTTGCGTTGATTGGCTGATGGATGATTAAAGTTTTCTAATTGTTGGATAAATGGAGAGTAAAAAGAGATCGGAGCTTGTAGCGTCTCGTCTTTGCGATCTTTCGCAGGTGTCTTTTTTGTACTTGTCCATTTTCCAATTTTTTTTTTTTTTTTTTTTTTTGTATACGTATACTTGTTATCGCACCTTAGGATCTCGTCTACGAATTTTCAACGAGTATTCCGTATTAAAAACGTCATATTAAACGAAAAGACTCTATATCGAAAATAATTTTTCGCTAATGATATTACGCGCTAATCTTCTGGAGTCTTCGGTCGAATATCTTTTCCCGCATCAGCTACATTGGGTCATCGATGTGAATATTTTACGGCGAATCTTCATTAGCAAGGTACGCTGAAATTTTTTCGATACGTCTATTCCCGCGTGTATTTCCCACTGCAATCGATAAATTCCTGCTACCAAAACACGCTGCAATTAGCAAACAATGGAAAAATTGCTGTGAATTTGGGGAAAATATCACGGTAGCTGGTTTGCAATTATACAACTGCCAGCATTTTTATCGACGAACGTACGAGCAACTTTTTTTTACTACGATTTGTTTCGAATAACGATATCGACGATTAATAGAACCAAAAGGGAACAGAAGCCAGCTAATGCCTGGATATATCCAACGCTATATCCATATGTTGCATCCAATGAACGAGGTGGAGATGTCAGGGTTGAACGTTCCAGCCTACTGAATATCTAACGTTTATAAAACGAGTTGCTAATCTTATCAACCGTTAACACGAAAAAGTATACCAGGAGCAATACCTGTCCGAACTTAGTATTTCATCGATCGACAGAAGTTGACATATGTATGTCTTTTTATCGAAAATATTATGATCAATGGAACGTGATAAATTCGTGGATCGATCTATTCCTAACCGTAATAAGCTATCAAATGGTAATTATATGTAATCACTACGAGCTATACATACGTTGTAAAGTAATTGTTCCCAGTTCCAAAATTAATCAAATTTATTACCGCGGTTACATTGGGAACCTTCTGTACCAATTTTGACGTGATATATAGGCCGATATTTGGAAATTATCGCCTCTGTAAAAGCTATAATTTTTGTGGTAAAATGATAACGAAGCAAGTTCTGGAATTCTACCAACATATTCATTAAAGAGCTATGTATATTACGGGGTATGGTGTTACCCAAAAAATTGTTATCGGAGAGAGAAATAAATTTATGATTTTATAATTTCTACATTCATGTTATAAAGTTTTCGAATAACAACGATTTATTCAATGTCTTTCAACCAATCTGATATTAATTGTACAATTTGTCAAGGAAAGACGTCGGTTATTACTCTCTGATTGGATATTATATAATTAATATTATGCAAATGAAATAAATTATTGATATTTCGAAATCCGTACGCGATACGAATCAAGCGAATGAAATTATTTATCACGATTATTACACAAGCTATTAAATAACGCAATCGAGGTATAAGTAATTCGTCTAATTCCCCTGCGGTTGTTGAAATGGAGTAAGATACTAGAAAATTAAAAATATTATTTAGCGAGTTACCTCGCTTTGCGAAACAATCACGAACACGAGTAGCACGAGTCCGTAAATAGAGCTTTGAAACGAACTATCGCAAAAGAGTTGCGCGAACTGACAGAAATTTTTGTTCGACAACTTTGTTACACGTTTGTTACAAAAATACGGTTAATAAACATCGATCGATTCGTTTCTCGTAATTCATGGATCATCGTATTCAACCGTGTCTGCCAAATCTGGACAATCGTTGTTATTCAGGATGTATAATTTTGTTAACATCGCGAACCGAACAATGGAGTGCTAACAGGCGCCGAAATTATCGGAATATGATGGAAAATCACCCTTCATAACGCATTCGAATTAGAATAATTGCGTATTGTTAAAGCTACGCGTGTAACGTGTAATATTATCATTGAATGAGTAACATAATTAATGCGCATTATCTATCGTTGCGAGAGGTATTGCAAGAAGTAAAAAGACGCGCATAAGTAAATAGGATACGTATGCGAAAGGCGTGTCAAAGATATGTCTCCTCCTACTTCTTGTAAACCTTACGGTACATACTTACGTATTGATAACAAAACGTTTAAACGAAATTGTAAGATATTTTTCTTTGAGTATCGGAAGTCGACGAGGCAATATACGACCGTCCTCGTGTATTATACTTCACTGGTATTCTCCTGACGAAAAACGAGACGAGCCGCGAATAACGTTTAATTGCAAAGACCACATTTTCCCAAGGACAGACGCGACTACTTATTTATCAATCTGTCTATCATCGTACTGTGTAATTACTTGCGCGAGCGTGCACGAAAATGAGATCTCCGACTTCGTTAAATTCGTTTTATCGTCTCTTTGTCCTTCATCGGCTTTAATAAATGGAATTTTCGATTACTCGCTTCTTGCATAAATTGAAACGCTTTGACAACGAAAACAAGTTAACTCGACGCTGTGTTAATTACGATACTGATTATAAAATTATCCAATCACAACGACACATCCAGTCGCATCCAATTACAGCTATTACGCCCGGAAGAGAATCAAAACGTCGAATAAGTTGATCCTTTTGGGCTTTAACCTTGACAGGTTGTCAGGGGCCAGGTGGAAGGAAGGAAGAACGGAAGGAATGTGCGACGAGTCGTGACCAGCGGAAGGCGGCCAGTCGACGATACATTTCCGGTGGTCGGCGGCCACTTGGAGCAAGTTTGCCCCTTGATCGTGGACAATAACGTGGGCGAGGACCGCTCGTTACACGCTACATGCCCACGAAGGATATGGATAGACGAGCGTCCTCAGCGCAGTTGGCATTCGTGACACGCACCATCGATGACATGAGCCACCATGGGATCCATCGCTTCGCCGCACCGCGTCGCACCGCGCCGCACCATGTCGCCAGGAATTACGATTCTCTATAGGCACATTTATGCACCGAAATCGACGACGAACCCCGATGTCTCCACGTACGTATCGAAACGTTTCATTTTATTATTACACATTTCTTGTTAAAAAGGTCTCCGAGTGTGCCCTCAGCTTTATCGTCGTATCGAATCTACGAGATAGAGAATCGATTCAAGGGAAAGATTTGGTATCCTCGAGAAATATTTTGTAATATATTTTTCTTAATATTCTAGTACTTGCTCATATTCGATATCGGAGCAATTATTCTCTCTCTCTCTCTCTCTCTCTCTGAATCTTTATCTTAATATATTTAGCTATCGCCATATTGTTACGATAGTTGAACCCGATGAATAACGCGTATGGAGAACCACCGAAACAAAGGAACGAATTATTTCGTTGGCTTCGAAATAACCGGAAATAGGATTCCGAATAAATTACGCTCGGTTAATCGAAAGTGGTTCCTCGAATCGCATGAGGTATGCAATATTTAACCTTTTGGTCGCTCCATCGGAACACTTTAATCTTGTAAAAAGGATCGGGAGAGCTAGCCACGCTAAATCATCCTCCCTCTTCTACCTTATCGTGACCTATCAAATATCATCCAGACATTGATTTCAGAGATTGCACAAGAAATAGAGTTTCGTAATCGGAAGAAAAACTTTGCGCAGAATTTATGTAAACCCTGTTAAAGCGTATAGAGCAACTTGCGTGTAGAAATTTTTATGACTCGATCAATTTATAGATACGTTCACCGCCAAAAGGGTTATTAGGGTTTGTTACTGCCATTTTACAAGCTATACCTTGTCCGTAATATTTTCGTGAGATACTTTAGAATTTCGTAAAATGTTGTAAATCCGTAGAAACGAAAGAAATTTCGACGTGGAAACTTTAGTTATTAAATAAATTAAGATGCTTCTTACATCAAAAGGTTCGCGGAAGTTGCTGTTCGAGGGACATCAAACAAAGTTAGAAAATTTATTTGCACGTAACTCGCCTCTGATACGTATTCATAAACTCTATTATACCGTCTACTATCGCTGCTGTTCGTTATTGACATATAATCAATGAGCTTCGATGACGTGATGGCCACGCGAATCCATTACACGATATACAGCCAAGTATACTGGGAGAAACTTATTTTATTCGAATACGACGTTTGCTCGTACTGAAATAATATAATAGACAAATAGAAACGCTTGAAGAAGAAATTCTAATATTTAAATTAAAAGGTATATACGATGATCCGTTTTTATAGAATTATGCGATTCTTCAGTTCCAAAATATCGAGGAAATTCTGCATATCTACCAATCACGAGCACGAATATATTCTCTTGGATGGAAAAGTTCCTCTTCTAAAATAATTTCCATTCTGGCTATTAAATTTCTTGGTGCAGCGTAGACCTGCGTATGCGTCCGCTTCGGAAGAAACATCGAGAAGTTTAATTTAAAGGATCTTTTGTTTGAACACGATTTGAAATTCACGATTCTGCCGAGGATCCTTTCGATCGTAGCTACGTCGGTATCGATAATGCGAGATATCTCGTCGTTCGTCTTCCCTCTATCTGTCGGATCGAGTTACTCTTCTTCTTTTTTCCCCTATCCGAGTTTTACTTTTTCTCTTTTTAAATTTCCCTTTTCTTCCTATTCTCGATCGACCCCTACTCCTCCCTCGCATAGATTCTCTCGCTTCCTTTTTTCCATTCTCTTCCTTTCTTTTTCTTCCTTTTATTACGTCGTGTCTCTTTCTCGTTTATTATCCCTCCCCGCTCTCTCGAATGCTCGTATCGCGACAGTTCTCTCGTATATTTTGTTATATTTCGTTTGTCTGGCCTTGCAAGCCCTTTTCTTCGTTATCGTCTTTTCGTATCTACTCTTATAATAATAACTGTATTGCATATGTTATTACATATATTATACAATATGTATTATCTGTATTAAATAAGTAAGTCTACGATGATAATATAACTCTATTGTTTATAATATAACTCAACTTGTTTCGCGTCCCAAATTTCACGTTTCATCAAAACTCCGTCTGCTTACGCTTAAAAATTCGCATTTACCTCTCCTTTCTTCTTCTCTTTCCCGTTCTTCTTTATTTCTTCGGTATATCGAGTTTTCTTATGTCTCGTAGCAAACTTTTTCCCTCTCTTGTTTCTTTCGTGTAACTTCGTAGTTCTCTCTTGGACTTTTTTATTTTTCTAGGTCTTCCCTATACGTTTGCTGCTCATTCTGTATTTTCACGCCATTTACTTTTCTTTTCAAACTCATTATTCCATGTTCTACCGTTCTATCTCGTCGAATATCTCCCCCCGTATCTCGATCATCCTCCTTTTCATGTTTCCACTTTCTTCTTCTCTGCCTTCTTCCTATCACGTCAAATTTGTTCCATTCTGCTCTCTCTCTCTCTTTCTCTCTCTCTGTCTGTCTCGGTTCGTGCATTCTTCCTCGCCTTCTATCACGCAAAAACCCTTTCTTCCCTTGCCGCGGTTCTTGTCTCGTTAAATTCCATCGTCTCGTCCTTTCGGCCACCCTTTCGCGTTCCCTCTCTGTTCTCCTTGGCAGGCTTCCCTCTCTGTTTTCTGCCCTGTTCACCCGTGTCTCCCGAGGGAGTGCCAGGAAGCGGCGCTATTAGTTGGCGTAACTCTAGCCTTGTCCGTCCGAGGATAATTGCGCGGGCTAATGGTTCCTTTTTTCCTGTTCGCCTCGGAGCATCGACCAGGTAAAAAGACGTCTTGCGACCTAGGAATTTAAACACGCGCCACGAGGGAGGTCTGACCACGATATCCTTTCGTTACTGGCTCCGGAAGGGCTTCCTCTTTTGCGTACGATCACGGAATTCGAAAACAGATGCCCGGTATTCCAGGCGTATCGCGGTTCGTTTCCCTTTAATTGGCCAGCGGACTGCTGGTTGCGCCTCGTGCTTGCGGAAGAACAATCTCCAACGAGATGGTCTGAATTCTCTCACGGATGTCCCTTTACCGAGTCGTCCTTTCTTCTCACTAGACGATTCCCTTCTTTGTTTTATTTTATCCACGCCTATGTCATTTACCACTTCGATCGCTCGATGCGATAGGAGAAATTGGGCCGATTACACGGAATGGGGCACGTCTCGCCGATTTCAACGACCACGAAATATGTTGTCATGTAATTAGCGAAATTGGAAAATATTCCGTCGACCGTGTAATCGTTCCATACCTTAACGCAGCGGTGTTCCGCTTGAAATTTTCAAATTCGTCGTTCAAATTAAATAAGGTATTGAAATGTAAATCGACCGGCGAATTTATACGTCGATTTTCCCATAGCAAAGACTCCAAAATCGTATTTATGATACATATCGCGAACTAACGAGATCGTACAATTCCGCAACACTGCAAACCCGATATTTCAAGTGACGCGCTCCGAGCGCAGCGACAATCGGGTCCGCTATACTTTTATAAATACAACACGGAACTGTCGCGACGTACTATTCTCGCATTAAATAATTAGCCCGACGGGTGCGTGTAAATAATTAATTTGGTCGCGTTTCTGAATGAACGTTAATTAAAACGGTAGAGTGGAGCGCGGCGAAACGGTCGGGCCCGGTATTTTCAACGGTGCCATCGGAAGTCGAGCAGTCGTTATCGTTTCAGCGAAAACACTTGGCGAATAATTATCCATTTTTAAGCTACACGGAATATGCGATTTCGAGCGCATGATACAATTTTAATGAAACGTTAGCGCGACCGGCAAATTTCAATTATTAACGAAGGACCATTTGTCAACGGATGGAGAGACCGCTTCCAGTGGGTTTTCTTGACAACGAAAACCGTATTAGTGCAAAATTACGCGCAAAAGGCGAGATAAACGTGGTAAACGAGTAGAAGCTAGATACTACTTGTCGATACATCTAGTACATCGTTGAAGCGACAACGAAATAAATAGACGCGGGCGAGGTATGACACGTGGTAAATTTACTATTTCGTTAAGGCCTTTTTTAAGTTGAAAGCTCGTTGGAAATATGTGTAAAGGCTAAAAAGAGATCAACGCAGCATTCGATTACACGGGTTATTCGGAAGAAAAATAAGAAACGTGGGACTAGAATCGGGCAATCTTCGGACGAGCATTCTCTCTCAGCGGTCTTGCATTACCACGAACCTCCGGATTATGGGAAGTCTCTGATTGGAGTTCCATAGGTACACGGAACGGTGTCGCGGAACCCGCCCAAAACCGGTAGCCGTATTACCATACAGATTGCCGTCGACTGTTATACTCACCGAACCGGGGAATCTATGAATCCGACTAATCATAAACGTACAACTAACCGAGGCTAATCTGCCGCGCGGCAATTCGGAATTTTACTGTCAGACCGAAATACGACCGGCATTCGAACGGCGAACGGGGAATGTTTTGAAGGCATCCCTGGAATATTACGATACGGTTAAGATCCGGGCATTGGGCTTGAAATGGTCCTGGGACAACCACCGCTGGATTTATCGACGAATTACAACGAACGGTATAGGCGTGTCGACGTTCATCGATGTACGCGATTATTCCTCGCGTACGGCAGGTGTTTCGATGCTTAATTCGCCATAGAAAAATAATGAAAAAAGTTCAGGACGACTCTCTGTGAAAAAATATACTATCGCGTAAAAGTTTCGGGTCGCTTGTTCGATGAAAATTTTCAGAAAAAGTTCTCCTGCTGGGGTATCTTTTATCAAAATATTTAAAAAGTTAGATCCCTGACAATTGCTAAACATCGAACGTTGTGCTTTCGACGATCCATTTACTCAGACATCACAATGCGTTTACTGTAAAATAGAGACAGAGATGTAACATTAAAAGAAGACGTAAAACGAAGGAACAGAGAGAAAAAGGCGATCAAATATTAAATTGGCAATGTCTGCCTTGTTCTCCCCTCGTGACGACACGGTTGCTTGCCGAGGGTCGGCCATAACCCTCGGACATAACCGAGGAAATCACTTGGAAAATCCTCGATGAATTCACAATGAACCGGCGGTTGGTACAACACGTTCATCCGTCACGACACCCCGGAGAATTTCTCTTTTTCCAACCTGCGTCCGCT